ATATATACTTTTTTATATGTTTACTAAATATTATTTTGTAAACATTTTACTTTTAATGCTGAAACTGTTATATTATAAAACGTAGGAAGTTTTAATTAAACAGGCAATGTAAAATTTAATTAAATTTTTTATGCACATATGTATATAGTATTGAAATAAATCCATATAAATTATTTATAACAATGTTTTTTATTCAACCGGCCCATCTGATCTGGTGTACAAATCACTATACGCAACTTAAAAAAATACTTGGTAAAAGAAAAATAAGTTTAATTACCCCAAGCCTACCATGAAGTTATATTGTATATATTGAAACGACCTAAGTATCGTAGGGTACACAATACATATTATATATATATATATATAATATAATAATATCATTCATCTTAAAATGATTGCTAATTGTAATAACAATTAAAAATAATTTTATATTCAGTAATATGTTTCAATTTTTAATTACTTTCATAAACATTAGGAAAAAAATATATAAAAGTTTACAAATAAGCTCCAATAAATAACTCATGTCAAAACAATGAAATAGAATTAAGCCACGTAAACGTATCTAGCCATAAATGCTTAATATTTAAGTGGTTATCAATTACCTCATTTATAAAAGGATTATAGTCTTAAACAAAAATAAAGTGTAATTTATAATTCTATAAAAAAAATTCTAGAGAATTAATATTTATTTTAATATTAAAAAATACGTGACTTTCGTATAAAGATATTTTATTTTTGAAATTTGTCATTGAAAAATATTACAGATTTATAACAGTCAAATATTTCAATAATTTATGATGTATTTCTGATCTTCAATTTCATAGTATTTTGCAATAACTAAGTAGTAATAAGGATTCAAAATACAAAAAATTAACTTTGACGAAGTATTTCTGATTAATATGCATTTTGAGGGCTAACTAGTTTATATAAATATAATGCTAATTATGACAGAAACATTGAACAATCATTTATTGTATTATTACTTTATAATCTATGGCTAAATTGACGATGATTAATTGACATAGCTTTAATTCATTTTTTGAAAACAACAAACAACTTGTTAAAAATTAAAATTATATAATCTTTTCACATACAAAAAACTGAACTTTGTAGAAAATAGTGTAATGTTATTTAATTAGGCAAAAAATTAAATTTATCCTTCATTTTTGTTAAGGCTAAGTATAATTTTTTTTATGAAAACCGTGGTAGTCTTTAATAATAATAAGCATTATTTAATATTAATTTTGTAAACATATTTTAAGATAATTTTTAAAAATAAATGTGTTATGAAACATTTTTAGTAGAGCTATTGAGTATAGATACTATCTATACTCAATGGTAGAATATAATTATTTAATTTATAAATAAATAGTAGTGTATGTTATTATTTTAGTAGATTTTTTATTATTTCACATTAAATATAAATGTAATTAATATATGATATTTTTATGAGATAATATTAAATTAAGGGCGTACCCTAAGGAATTTTGTATAGTGTTACTTTTTAACAAAATAATTGAACCAAAATCACACAAAACAGTCATCAGCAATTTTTAAATAATGATTGACCATGATCCTGCATTAAGTATGACTATTATTTATTGAGAAAAAAAACTCTATAAACAAAGTGATAACAAATTAGTTTTCACGTTGTTTATTTTGATTAAAAAACATATCAATATTAATTTCTTTTATTATTACAGCCTTTTTTATTACAAAATACTGTGAGTATTATACCTATGATAATGTAATATCAATTGTATTAAGTAGATTTGATTATTATTATAAAATTGTTTTAAATTAACGAAATCTATTTTTTTTTTTTTTTTGACAAAAAATATGTAGTCAAACTTTATATCTTAATATAAAAAGAACAAATTTTTACGTTAAAATAATTAATAAAATAATATGAATACACGAATAGTTACCATATATGATATTTTTGTTTTTAATAATACCTAAATTTTTTAGAATGAGTGTTTTATATCTATATTGACTATAGTATGACAAATGTTCATGTTGACTTGTTGGCCCGTGGGAAATAACTTTAAAAGTATTACTTAGAATGAGCCCGAATTTTTTTTTTTTTCGTCGTTTATTTATTAAGACGTGATCGTCAAATAAATAAGATTCACTCTATGGGAATTGAGATACAAATAAATATAACATTACTATAACATGCACCGAGTAAGAGATACAAGATGTAATGTCAATATGATGTGTGACTATATTGAGCTATCAATATGTTCATAAGAATGGCTGAGGCTTTAAAAAAAAAAAAACATTTTGTTCTGATTTCAAAGTTGATTCTTGCATAAGAATACTCGAGTTTCAATTTATTTAAAATATAGCAGATATAACGCAATAGTATTTTTATAGATCTCGTATCACCTAAATATTTCTTGAACAAGTAAATTTTCTAAAGAATTCTTGGTAACATTATTTATTTACTATTCATTTTCAAAAATGTTGATTCTATTTTAAGAATAATAGAAATAAATTTTCCACTGTCACGTGGATTCTGTACAAGATCAAATTGTTGTAAAAATCGTTATAATGCTGTCAAAGAAATAGTATCATTTTAGAAAATTCCGTTATACAAACATTATAATTGAATAAAATAGCGTATCGAATTCCTATTGATAGTTTTCTAGGAAAGTTGATACTAAAAAATAATATTATTAGGGTATTTCATCAACCGTTAAAATTTTATTTACTGAATAGGCGTAACTAGGTGAGGTACAGTAATGAAATAATCCTTTTTTTAATGAAGAAAAAATACAAATGTCGCTGTTTTTTTGGATGATGCATAAAAACTTCCGAATAATATTTTCTAATTATGTCTGCATAATTTGCATTCTGAATGGTATTATTTAATTTTTGTTAAATATAATTTAAATATACTATTGCGTACAAAAATGTTGGGTCTTAATTTTTTCTTCGAATTTTTTATTTATTTAACATTTATGTGTAATAAGTATTAAAAAAATTTTAGATAAAATATTATTTATACAAAAAAATGTACATATAAGATAAAATAGAATAATATTGGTAACGAAAAAATACTTTTATTTAATTTTATTGCTTTATTAATGCAGTATGTGTAATTATCATTAGTCGTCGTATGATAACAATATGTATAATACCGTATTTAAAAATTAAAAGGGTATTAATTATTACTTTTGTTTTAAAATAATATGTCTAGGTTTTTATCTTTCTAAAATACCATACAAAAATAATCAAGGTTATCACAAATTAAACGATTAGCATAATTATATACTAATGCGGTAGCTTAAAGTGTCATTAATAATTTTTAGTTTTAAAGTTGCAATTCTTGTTTTACTAATCTATGTGAAAATGTTAATCTGTATTACAAAAAATATTTGTTTCGATCACTGAGTAAATTCTTTAAAAACAAGTTTTTTAATATTACACCTAGAATCAGTGTACAGAGATCAAGTCATCGAATTAATTTTTTCGTATATATCTTCAATCATACTTCAATGGAGTCATTTAAAAAACAATCGTTGAATACTGATAGTCTTTAGATTAAACACAATGTTAAAAATACTTCAAAGAAATAAAATTAATACTCTGAAAAACATTGCTCATCAATATTAAAACTTTATTAATGAAAGTAAGACATTGCATTGATTTTACTTAAAAGAGGAGAGATTTTACATTTTCAAAATGTTCCTTCGCTGTGCCACTAGTATACAATATTGTTTTATAACATTCCAAATATCATATAACATTAATTAATTACAAGTGGTTTTGATTAAAATTATTCTCGACGAATCATTTAAATTTCTGAATTGAAGACAAAGCAAGAAGTTTGTACTTATTCAGTAATATAAAAATGTGATAACCAAATGACAAAATTGAAATGACTGAAAAATAATACAAAACGCATTGCTGCTTGTTGCAACACACATATGTCTATTAACCCAAATGTTAACTCTGCATTGGGTTCCTAGAAGCTTATTAATCGCAATGGCGTTGAGTAAGTTACAAGTCATAACTTTTTTCCTACTAGACGGTTCGAAATGCTGAGTTGGTCAATATAAACAGTAAGCTGTAGTGTCCACACTATTGGACGTTTATCGCCTAGTCCATAAAAATATTACACATATAGGAATACACGTGTATAGGTATATCATTATGTTTTCCAATGGGAGGCATAAAACGAGAGAAGGGTAGGGTCAGTGTACGTGGGTTGAAATGGGGATGGATTTTTTTTACGGCTTCCAGACAAAATGCAAGTCGGCTTGGAATATTGCACACTAGTTCAAATTGAAAATCATAAGCGAGGAATATTGTGCAAAGGATAGAAAATAATTATTTGCCGTTTTATGAAACAAGAGTTCACAGTAAATAAGTTTAAATTTAGGAATGTGATCGAGATACTCGAAATGCGCAGTCAACTCTTCGAACGAGTCGTTCTCTTATAGGTCAACAGGATTAGTGTGGTCGAAAAGAAGGTTACACGTAGGAGGGTAAACCACCTGATGACAATTGGATAACAAGTTCAACACATTACAGTTCATTATTCGCAAACATCTAATGCAAACTCTATAAAAAATTATAAATTAACGAATTATTCTGCTCTTGCGAAAAATGTTTACTCATACTTCACTGCAGTAACTTCTGCCTATCGACAACAAATATTTACTAGAACAAAACCAATAAGTTCTATTAAAACGGTACAATGGCCACAAAACGATCACAATTATAAGCACTCGTATGAATCAAAGGCAGTAAAAGGCGATTTTAAGAAATTCCTACATCAACATGTTACAACAATGAAACATTATTACTATAAGATTCGTGTGCACACTTGATTGTTGTTACTATTCATAATTATTGTACGCTTAAAGTCGGCGTGGCTAAACTGGTGGTCGGGTGTCCGAAGAGCGTGCGCCGTGCCGCCGAAGGAGCTGAAGAGGCTTTTGCGCTCTCCCTCGGCCGTCGAAGCTTTACAACGGCGAAACGCGACACCAGCCATCATGTACACGATATTCCGGCGTGATCTGCCGTAACCGAACGTCGGCCGCTCTGCTCTTCTTCGGCGCTTATAATACGCTCGTCGCGCTCTCACTTGTTTGCTGGTTTTCATTGGATTTACCACAACTTGCCAGTCCTACGACAACGTAAGTATTCCGGCGAAATTCTGTTGCACATTATGTAGTATAAATGTAAGCTTAGTAAAAACGTTGCTAATTACGGTGGCTTTGTAAATCTCGTGTGATGTTTCATAGGTCATTTGACGCACACACTTATCACGAATAATTATTTATTATAAAACCAGAGGTTATAATTTTCAGATGAATTATTTCGAGCTCGTTTCTTAGATTAGTCTTGAACTTTTAATCGTATTTATTTTAATTTCGTGTGTTTAATATTAAAGTTCAGCAACAAATTACAATAGAAACAATGGGAATGCGGTCAATTGACAAAATAACGTAAAGTCTACACAAAGTATTTATTTATTTATGTTCTTAAAGGATAGGTTTCGCAAAACTCTAGAGTAAGTGTTCGCACGTACGCGAACAAGAGAAATCGGTATTGAGTTAGGAAGGTCCGATAAAGGCGAACAGTATTTTTGATGTCTCTTATATGTCGGGCGGAGACAGAACTGTATTGTTAAAATAAATATCAAACATTTAAATTTTCACGTACTAGTATACAGTTTATACTGAAAAAGACATGCCGTTTATTACCAGTACGCCCAAATACCCCGACGAACTCAATCACTTTCAAAATGCCTCGGTACCTACTATTAATAAATAATAAAAAATATTTATACTTCATGACTGTATAAGATATATTCAACTATAAGAGTGTTCTGAAATTGCATCTTTCACGATCAAACACGTAATATTATGATTTTCACGACCTGTAAAATAGTTTGATTGGTAAAAATATTTAAAATTCCAATATCTAAGATCAAATTTTACACAGCGTTATAACATTCAAAAGACAAAAACTTAGCTTCTATACAACAAAAACACTATTACTCTTATCCATTAATTACCTTTTATGGCACAATCTAAATATAAAACGTCTTTATTGCCCCGAATCTCTTGAATATATTACCCGTAACGCCTTCTATTTGATTTCAACCGTCTATACGGTCGGAATTTAGCTTTGCTGTGTTTTTAATTATTTCATTTCTGATTGAAATCGCGTGCTTGTATCACGTTTAAAAAATTATTATTCCAATAAATTATTAAGTGATCAAGTCGATAAAACCTAATCGGTAATTTAATATCTATTGTTAAAAATTAAACTGCGTGTAGGTAAAAAGTTAAATAATAATTGAATTTAATATACAACATTTTTTATATCTAAGATTATATACTCGTGTTTAATACGAATGAATTTGACTAGATATCCGACTCGTTTCCTTTATTTTTTTATTTTTTTTTGTATACCGTTTGCGGAGAATTACTCTCATTTTTATCCACTCGGTCGATATTACATAGAAGTCTGATACAATAATTTAATTTTTTTTGTAGAATCTCGAACATCTCTAAATGAAATGACAATTTTCGCAACACTAAATAGATATATCATATTTTTCACCAAAGAATTAGTGCTCTCCCAACTATTCCTCCAACGTCAAGATATCAAATAAAAATGGCATTTTACTAATATTGTCTAGCACAAAATATGTACATTGGGAAACGGCGTTATTGTTTAATAACGTTATGATGATGAGTTTCAACTGACTCTGTATTCCACTGGCATATAAGCATACCATACATTGCTAAAGACCTGTAACCAATTCTTGTCATGATTCTTGTTATCAACACTCAGCCACTCCCGTTAATTTAGTTTACACAATATATACATTATTTTTAACCAAACATCTGAAAGCTTTCATTTAATAAAAATCTGATAAAAATTGCACATTTTGTAAGACAAACATAAGTCCAAAGGCATTTTTGTTAGCTTTGCAACATAGTATGAATTTTTATACGGTAACTATATTAAATTAGTTAATATTTTAGATACAAATATTAAATACTTTAATGATAATAAATAATAGTAGTAAGCATGTTATTTTTATTTGGTGTTTCTAGAAATGCGATTTCTTTAAAAATGTATTACATACAGTAACTCTCAAGAATAATTATAGTTATGATTTAAAGTAGTATCAATAATCAAAAGCCTCCACGTATATATGAATATATATATAATTGAATATTAGCACGTGGTCGCAAAATTTTGGTATATTGACAATATGTTTTAATTTCTCCGTCGAAAAACTATTTAATTTTTAATTTGATTAGTAAAATGTGCTGTGCATGAAATTTTTTTGCTTTATTTATATAAACATATATTGGACATTTTTTTTATACATATTAATAGATATTTTTTAAGTATATAAGATGTATCTGGACATAATTTTAGTTTATCAATCTATTTTTTTTTTAACATATACGATTAAAATATAATATAAATACACAGTAATTCTTTTAACGCTAGCTAATGAATTTCTCCTAAAGTACTAAATTTTTTTTTGGTTTTTGTTAGTTACACATGCATTTACATTTGTCTCTTACAAAATCATTTTAGGTCCATTCCTCATATCTTATAGTGATGTCAACTTTATTTTTTAAAATGAAAATATACATTTTTAACTAGCTTACAAAACAAAGTGAATTCACAATAAAGAGATAACTTAGAGCAGTAGCACCTTAAGGTTCTACAAATATATTATTCAGAAATAATTACTTCTAATACATTTATTTTAAACAATTCAAATTGTTGCGACTATTGCAGTTTATATTAGTCACCATAATGATGAGTAGCCTCAAAAGCTTTTAACAAGACTTGTAAGTTTTATAAATTCTCATTTTAATTGACAATATTTAAATCTAATTAAATTTTTTTTTATTGTCTCATTGATTGCTAAATATATAATAAGATTATAATCTTAAACTTTTAATTTGATTTTATGTATATAATTAAAATAAATGATCAATAATTCCGCTAATGTAGATATTCAAGAAAAAGAGTGATTAGGAAGAGTTATTTGTATACAGGTGATCCAAATCGAGTAAGAAACTCATTTTATCAAATATTAATAAGAATTTTAAACTTTTGAAAAGAGAAAAAATGTTATTTTGCCCGGTCAGAGTGCACAAATACCCAACATGAGCTGTGCGCGCCTACGCAATATACACACTTTCATGTATTAAAATATTTTAAAGAATCATGTGATACAAAAAATTTTAAGAACATAATTGTGTGTAACTTTTTTTTATTATATTATTAAGTTTAAAAAAGGATTTTTACTTTTGAAAATAAAATTTAAAATTATTGTAAAGTAAAAAAAATTATTTAATCATATATTATTGTTAAGTCTTTTGTACATAATATTTTTTATCTTTATATAAATTTTAAATTCTCGATTTTCTCCGAGAAAATGAGTGTATTACCAGATTTGGACCATTCTGTGTAGTAAATTTAAAGGATATTTATGAAGTTAATAACATCACAACTAGTTATTATAAATGAATATTTAAAAGATTGATTTAAATATACTTATTGAGTAAAAATGAGTACCGTCAGGTGGGTCAACTGAGGCGGGTGTTAAAATTGGGTCAGTCAAATATTTGACAGATTTCATTATTCAATTTTTGTCAATAAACTTTTTAGATATCTTAAAGCTACTTGTAAAAAATTTAATATGACATATTTGTATCCATGAATAACAAATATAATTTTACAAATGATACAAATAAGAAGATCTAATCATATGTCTTATCGACTGGAGTGTACGAGAATTGCCTATATATTATGCCGGGTGTACCTAATTATTTACCAAAAAGTTCCAATGATTCATTATTAAAAATAATAAAGCGTCAAAGAAACAATATACAAAAAAAATGTAGCTGATTTTTATATCATATTATGGTAAATAATTTTATCGGAGAATACTGTAACACAATTACAATATTGTGTGTAGTAATTTTATAACCACAAGTAAAGTTTTAGGCATTTTATGTAATTTGTAACTTTTCCTACGGGCAGTTGGCTGCTTATGTTGTGCAAAGAAATAGTTATTGTTTATTTTTGTATGTTTAGTTATGGTGTTTAAACATTTTAGAGGTTTAGAAAGTGTATAAAACAAACATTAAAATTTATCATTATGTAAAATTGTTTTGTTTTAGATCTTTTACTGAGCAACAATTTAATCTAAGTGATAAGTGAACATTTTATATAATATTAAGTATTGTACAATGCTAATTCACGTGCACGTTTATTTAAAATATAATTATATTTAACTGATTATACTATTAACCAACAAGATAAATTGAAACTATTTATTGTACAGAAAACTGCTAGTAGATTAATTAGCTTACAATGAACATGTAATTTAAAACTTCTTATTAATTGATTAGTTTACTATATCACCTCCAAAATTTAAATAATTTTAAAGATAACCTTTCTCTTATACTTCAATGAACAGCTAAATATTGTTTATTAGTACATAGAACTCGGAAATAAATTTACCAAATTTTAATTTCATATTAATTTGATTGTTTTTGTAAAACATGTAATTTTCGCCAAGTTTTAATAAATTTAAGAAAAAGTATAAACTGTGAAAATTCATTTTATTTGTCGTGTCTATATACCTAAAGTTATAACGCTTGATACAAAACTGTTATTATTTCATTTGAAGTATTTTTATTGCAAATGTAGTAACAAAAAATAACACTAGGATTAAGAGACAAACCCCATAAAAAAGTACTGTCAAGTTATTTAAAGTATACGTTTTATGCTAAATATAAAGTGCAATACAATATCATTGTGTTGACGATTTTCCTCGCAAAATGTTATTTTAATAGTGCTAAAAACAATCATCTAATGTTGTTGAAAAGATACTTTCAGAAAGAACAATGTTGTTAATAAAGGGAAACTAAAATAGAACTAATAAATTCAAAATTATCTTCTCTCTTGTGGTTGGAAGATATTTTATAAGTAAAAAAAATGTTCATTTACGAACTGCCGTATGATCTATGGCACTACAAATCACACATATACAAAAGTGCTAATATTTAAAAATAGAAAGAAAACACTTCACTCAAAGGCTATCCGACAAGGATAACAGGGGAACAAACACACTCAAGGTTAAATTTAAAAAAAAGACACAATGAATTATTACAGACTATTTTATAATACACAATATGAAAAAAAAAAAACAATATAATGAACATGTACTCTTCGGTCCACTGTTGAGACTCAAATTGAAATACTTATGCCGTACATAACTAATTATAAATAAGTCAATATTTAAAGATCATAAACAAAATGAATAAACTATAAAACTATATTAGAGAAAGTTATAAAACTAAAAAGACAATCGATTATATGAGAGTTTACTAGACAAAAAGCGAAAATCAGAGATCATTTTTGAAAATCATACAGTTAATGGCCGTACATAAATTGGGCGTTTGCGTGTGGAACATATTGTGTTACTATTAAGCAAGGAAAATGATTAGAAGCAAAGTTGTACTATTAAACGGGAAACGCTATCATATGATAACGGAGGGTTGTTTCTGTAAAACAGTCGTATAAACACACGAATGCGACAGTTATTATTTTATATTTCTCAATGTTACGCACAGAGTATTTTGATTACGGTCGGTTAAATACAACATTTATGTTAAAATTTTACCGGAATTATAATTATTATACGGTGAGGCGTCATGTTGGATTTGAATACAATAATAGGGTTGGGCAAGAGGAAAACGTTTCGATTTACGCGTTCATTTAAAACGAACAGAAGAAAAGTGTCACTCTTTAGTTTAACATTATGTCATAAAAAAGAACAATGAAAAAAAATATTTAATCTGACAATAATTGTTAAAATTTTCAAAGAGAAATTCTTTTTTTACCAACGCACATTGATATACAGAAACATTAACGCTTACAATAATTCGATGTATTTTGTTTTAATCATTTTTATAACACAGTAAAGCCTGGACACCAAGTAAACATTAGATGATAAAATATTATCAAAATAATGCACTGAAATGGAACGTCTATCTATACTTTCTAAATGGATGTATCTAACTTTAATAAGTAGTGAACAAAGAATGCAATATATATAAATTTATTTTTTTTTTGCTCATTTAACTTTCTTGAAAAAAGTTTAATGCTTCTTCCACTTTTCACGGGAATACATTAAAAAAGTAAATAAAGCAAACAGTGACTTAGTAAAAACTTTTTCCTTGTGTATAAAACCGCGTTCCCAAAAATTATGTGCTTGAGTTGAATATTTTTCAAGTTTCAAGCTTAACAGTATCGTTGTATAATATTTTTTTTTTTTAATAGTACCATTCCTTCTCGTCAATCACAAGCTATTCTCAAAATGCTGTCTCTTTTTTTTTAATGCACCCAAATTCGTATTACAACATTCATCAATCGAGCTGGGTACTTTTATTATTTTTTTTCACTTTGCATTGACACTTTTTCCTTTCATACATATTTTACTAGCGGCTACCCTTTTTTTGTTGGTTTAACACAGTTCGATGTCAGCCAATACGTGTATAATAATAATAACAGTATGTTTTGTTAAGATAGGTTATATCTTAACTGTCACAATAGGAACTATATCATTATTGTATGTGTTATTACAAACAAAAATACTACTTTCTATTGAATTGGTTGCAACGTATATAAATAACTAGCTTATCTAATAGATAATGACGTAATTAAGAAAATGGTTGGTCGATAACAACATTTGGACAGTATTTCAAAAGTTATTAATATTTTTTTTATGACTGGAGGTGTGGAGTGGGTGCAGCTATTGTTATCACTAGTTATTTCTCTGTCGTATTTCTTCCGCATAGGTATAAATATGAGAAAAATTAGATACCTAATATATATATAAAGGTTATATATATGTATATATAAAGTTTATTATAAGTGAAAGACTAAAATGTTTTTTCAAATAAATTTTTGATGAAAAATTATAATTAAACCTAAAATGCCTTAATACTTCTGTATTGAAAGCTAATAATAAAAAAAAGAAAAGAGAAAAAAACCTAAAATGTTGATAATATGAATGAAAATTAAATACAAACTTAAATCAAAAATTATTCCAATAATAATATTAACAATATCAGTTCTGTACATGATTATTTTACTTGGATTTTCAAAAATCTTTATTAATTTGTAGTATAAATGATTATATTTTATTATTTATAAATTACCGAAAAATACTTCATCGCTCTTTCATTAAAGCTAAAACTATTATTTTATAAGTTTTACTGATAATATTACCGTAAGTGGTTCAGCGCTAAAAATGTGTATAAAAAGCCAAAATGAGATAAACGAAAAAATATATTAACTGGATATTACTATGTCCTTTTATAACATGTCTTTTAAAAATAATAACGTTGTGCACAACGGAAAATACAGTTACCACAAAGTCCTGACGTTAAGCTTCTGACTTAGGTACAAAAACAGTTTAGGAGCTTTAACGACACTACACATAATGCTACGAATACTGTGCAAATAGAAAATGACAATAAAAAACTTGAATATCATTCCATCATTGTAATATAACTAATTTTCTATAAGTAAATTTAATTTATCTATTATTTGGCGAAATAACATTAAGTAACACATGGATAAACAAAAATGTATAATTGGTATATCAATAATAACTAATTGCTATTCTAGAGTAAACAAAAATGTTAATAAATCAAAAGAAACTTTGAACATAAAAAAAAACTATCACTAAGCATTTAATAAAAAAAAAACAAGACCTTTACAATTTTTAAAATTTTTTTTTAAGGCACAATTAAAAATATTTAATCATTGATGATGATTAAGAGATGTATATAATTAAAAGAACCAAATCCTTTTTTTAAAAATTGTTATTATTTGCTAATAAATAAAGGATCGGCCTGACCTAGTGGATAGAAACTTATTTTTTAGTACGCAGTCCTAGGTTAGATCCCCAAGGTGCCAACGATATATTTCTTGTGATTTTTCTCATTTGCGGCGTCTGGTCTCTGGTGTAAGCTGGCCATACCCGTTCCATCCATCATTAGCCTAGCCAAGAACCATTTTTGAGTCGCTCACATTTAAAAAAGGGCCCCTGTAGCAATGTTAAGTTCAGGAAATGGAAGGATACAAAACTGATCATTATTATTAATTGCTAGTAAATGAGTAATTACTAAAAATACAATTGTCCTGTTTGATTTTACTACACCTAAACATAGTTTAAAGATTTTTAAAGCAAAAGAAAATTATTTTAGACTTACAATATTATTGAAGTTAATAAAGTACAACAATTAATTCAATACGGAAGATAAGATTTTTTATAATTGTCTACTAAATATTTTAAGATAAATAATTGATTTATAAATAATTATAAATTGGTAATATCATTTAAGCATAATTAAAATAAAATCATTTTCTTTTCTTTGGTTAAAATTAATTTTTATTTACTTATTTTTAATTTGTAGAAAATATGTTTAAACCTGACATCTTAAATATTTATTTAGTTTACACAACTTATTTGAATAAAATTTTAAATAAAATTATGGTAATTAGTAGTTTTAAATATTTTTACAAGTAATTAAAAATTATGAAATCCATTAATATCATTTAAGTTATAATTCTCTACAGATTTATTGTATAAGTTTAAACTTTTTAACTAAATTTTACTAAATATATTTACCGCATTAATTGTTTTTATTTTGATAAAAGTGAAACAAATATTTTATTTTTCATCAAATTTTTGGGATTTTGACAGTATTTTAAATGAATTAACGCTATGTCTTTATTCATATTAGTATTTATACAATAATTGGTACAAAAAACTGTTTTTGTTATGTTATTACACATTTTTTTACTTAATTACATCATAAAAGTTAATTAATTTTTTTCATAATTGAGGGTTCTCTTTTAACACCTCGCGACCCTTTTTAAATCCTATAAAATAATGAGTTTGTATTTTAAAAATTAATTGTGTTGTTGTAAGAACTTTGCACGTAAAATATTAATACAGTAAATAATATCCAATAAAACGTTCATTTTGCTAGGTAATATTGAAAAATGGTTGAAATGTTAGTAATAAATTATAGCTGTTTAGTACGTCATGTCATGTGTATGATAATAAATAGCTGTTAAAATATCTTAAAGGGATAAAGAGTAGCTGCTCCCACAATATGTTAACTCTAAACACTCTATGTCATGTGTGCAATATTAATAGTAACACGTGCTCCTCATACGATATAACAGAAAATTGATGACCTAACGCGTTGAGTGTAAGTAGTCTATATATTTTAACTGTTCAGTTAACTTATTAAGACCAGCCATTTTGTATCTAATAAAGACTTATTGAGGCTAATGAACAATAGATTATATATGAATATTTCCCGACTTTATACAACACAAAGAAATTTCAAATTCATCAGTCCAGATGAAAAGTCTTTGTCTTTTAAACGTTTCTTTAATAATTCTTGCCGTAGTGTTCGTTTTCAAAGTACAGTTCACGGCTTCAAGAAGACGACTAAAGAAGTCGTGTTTGTGTAAAGGTGAAATGAAAAACACTGCAGGCACTTAAAGTTTGCTTTTCCAGATTGTAAATCACACTGACCAAAAAAGTTTGGGGAAATAATGTTCATGTATATTTACTATTAACCTAAGCGTGCGTTATTATCATAAGACGAGAACCTATATTTTGTTGTTTTCGAAAATGTTTTCTGTGACTTTTGTTTGTTATCTTTGTGTTTCAGACAAACGGGATCAAGTTGAAGGCGTGGCGGAATGCCGTCGGGGCTTAACGTGCCGAAATTGCATAGCCAAGTCCCGTTCGCATGAAATACATTTACGAGTGAATTAGCAAAATGAATTGTGTGTTCAGCCGTTCCATAGCAGCACTCGTTTCATTGCTGTACACTACTCATCATGCAGGTCAGTTGATTCACTCTATCTAAGCGTGTTTCTATCATAATTGTTGTACTGCTCATTATCCAAATATTTTTCCGGAATTCCAGTATTATCTCGTACGTAATGTAACTGCATCAAACAAATGAAATGAATTCCTCTCGTTTTTCACGACACTCAAATGATTCGTTAATATTATTTGTAATAATGTATCATAATGTCATTGTCAGCATTTGTGCCTTAGACACGTGATACCTCTAAAATATTCATTGCTATTAAAAACGTCACGAGAGTTAATAACACAATTAAAACCATCAAATCTCATTTGGTACCCAAAATTGTTTTGATACTTAATACGATGCGGTTTTATGGACGAAATATAGTGATATTGCATAGATTATCGTGTTCTAGACAGAAACTAATGCTGTACTATCATTAAAACGAGTAATATATAGAAGAAATTTAGTTTTAGAAAATTTGCACTGCATTAGAGTGTAATGAAAATTTTATTATTGATAAAAAATTGTCAGTAAATAATGCGTTATCAAAAAAGTATTAATCGAGATAAATTTTAGAAAACTACTTTTTATCCTACAAATAGGATAAAAGGTAAATATTATAGGTGCAGGTAAATATTTTTCTTTACTCGGCACTTTTTACAAATTTATAACGTCAAAGATGTACAAACAGATAAATTAATTATGGCAATTAAAGTGTGTATTGCTATTACTTTTGTTATACGGGATTGATATAAAACTTTTACTTTTTCAACAGAGTCTTTTCGTCTCTTTTTTTTTTAAGAAAAAAAAAAGGATACGGAATTTGAAGAAACAATTCCATTAATGTTGACCTATAATAAAAATATATAATTAAATGCCCGGAAATGTTTTCATTTGTTTATTGCAGTAAAACTATTTATTATTTTCTTTTATTATTATTTACAAAAAAAATTAGTTCAGGCATTTAGTGTTATAATAATTGTTAAAATTGATAATAAAAATTAAATTTATTTGAACTGAATTATTTTATAGGTGAAATTTAAACGCAATTTCGGGGGATTGTACTTAATTCCATCAAAATGTGTCTGCGTGAATTCACATGTAATTTCCATACATTTGGTGGTGGAGTTTAGAAAGTATAAAAGGGGCTATATTTATTTTTAACCCCCAGATTGCAAAATGCATAATTTATACAAAGTTAATCTAAACCAGGATTATATTATTTATATACAACAAAGAAACAAAAAATAAGATGCTTTATTTTAAGTGAATCAAATTTTAATGTTAAATTTTTTTAATGAATAAAAATAGTGTACTTTTTAGAGAAATAAAAATTAGAAATGTTATATAAGGAATGAAAACAAGTTATAAGTTAGGACTTGTGAATAAGCGAAACGTGTAGATAGAGAAAAACATAACTACAACAAATGGAAAATCTAAGGTATAATGTATGGAAGAGATTTAAAAAGATACAGACGAACAAAAATAAATACATAGATAATGCTATGTGAAGATGAGAGACGGTTTGACGACAACAGTCCATAGAAAGCATATTGAATTTGCGAAGAAGCCAAGTAATACGGAAACACAATACGAGCAATTTACCGGAGACGTCTCGCGTTTAGAGTTAATTTTTTATCGTGTATTTTACTTGCCAGCGGAAACAAAGACGAATTTGTTTAATGTAAAAAATTTAATTTATACGTTTTGCGTCTAGCACTTAAAAATAAATGCGGCACAATATGTCATTTATTTATTTTTTGCTTTTAGTCAAACATTTTATTCAACTTTTCGTGACAAAAATAAATTTCTTTAATACATCTCATAAGACAATTTTTATTTCATTAATTTTAAAAATAAGCAAGACATAAAACAGATATAACGATACAATTACTTGGCTTACAGGTACATTTATTGAAATCTTTTATGACAAAATAAATTGAAACGTTGACATATCGTTTATTGTTTTTTGAAAGTAAAAGTAATCTGAGTTATTTAGATTTATGGATTTAAGCTGACTTAACTAAGGAATATAGTATTTTATTTATAAATAGGAAATGGCTTCTCAGAATATTTTAATAATAAAATATAAAACAATGTAACAGAGACATGGACAATATTTTTTCATATTACGCGAGCTATAAACAAGAACATTTTTAGTACCTCTCCAATTAAAATAAAAATGTACATTTCCGTATCCCTTAGATATGCCGTTATATTTAAATTTATTTATTTCATTTCATTTCATCAATTTATTTATTTATAAATGAATCTTTAAGAAATTATTTAATCGTAAATATATAACTTAAGTAAATAAATTATGAAATTCAAATTCAAAATTGATGACTTGTTTACCATTTTTTAATTTGTAAAAATCAAAAATCTTAATTTTTCATTTTCAATCCAGGATAAAAAGTGCTTATTGATATCTCATAAAATTCAATGACTTTAGGTATTTCAAAATATTACTCAACTCAAATGTTATCATATAATTTAATAAAAAATACAGCAAACTAATAAATAAATTCGATAAATTACATATTTAAATTAACTTATTCAGCTTTGCATAAGGTTATAACAAATTAATAATAGTTTAATTAATTTTATTTCATAATATACTTAGACAATGTGAAAAATTTACCTTTCAAGAAGATATTGCTAGATTTCATTTGATAAAGCTTCATATTTACTAATTAAAATAATTTAACATAAAAAAATGAAATACTGTTTATGTAATGAAAATCAGAATGGAATTCTCTATCGACATATTTATGTTGCTAACAAGGTACGAGATTAATTTTAACACAAACACGTAGAATTCATATATCAAATAATTTTATTATATTAAATTTTTCAATGAATTGTAAATATTTGTTAAGAAAATGGGCCAGCTTAAAGCGATCTAAATAAATATTAATAAATAATACTTTGGCCTTATATTTTAAATTACTCAGTGTATAATATTATTTTAAAATTACTCAGTTTATAATATTATTTTTAAACTGATAGCTTTGATGGCTAATTTCGTATTTTTCACTAATCCTTAAATTATATTTATTTAAAATATAGAACTTAATGGAAACTAATGTTAACTAACGGCTACTTGGGTATAATACTAAATTAAGTGCAGTTGACTGAAACATTTTTATTTAACAATATTAGACGTCTTACCAAGGCAGTTGTTTCAGTGACTTTTTTTATATATATAAAATGTAGGTCGGAATTTAACTTAGGTTTTACTGAGCTTTCGACCGGAATATTTTTCGAAGGAAACTTAATGTAGCCTACAGAATTGGTAAAGTAAAGCTAGCATCTCGTACGTTTTTTGGGTCCAAACACCGTCGTCTGGACACGTTTATGAATAATGCATAAAAACTTTAAGAGCCACGCGACCGCAATTCACCAAAGTATTATGATCGTAAAATTCCCGGAAAATAAGTCGATGTATTTTTAAGAGCACAGATGTGTAAAGGATAAAAGCTTACAAACGTCTGTTGATTAACAATTATTTTGCATCTGCATTCTATGTTTGAAAAATCCGTGAAAATAACTTCATAGAAACTCCGGTAAAATAATGGGTCACATCACACTTACTTCACATGTATTTACATATTATAATGAAATATTTCTGTTTTGTTATATATTCGGAAGGCCTGACTGTATTTAAAATTTTAAAACAAGATTAATGATGACTTCATAAAAAATTTGCATCAATTCATAGATTTCTATTTAGAGATAATAAATGTTCATACAAATTTTTGAAAAAATTGTTTTAAATAAAACATAGGTTATTTTGTAAATTAAATTTTGATTAGAAAATGTATAAACTAGTTATTAACAAATTTATAAGCTAACGTTAGTTAAAGTTTTGAATTTGCGGTAAAAAAACATTATGATTATGTGTCACATGGTAATGCGGCGCATTTTCTTATCAAGAAAACTTAATTTATCAATGCGGTTAGTTTTTAAGGAATTGTTATAAAAACTTTTATTCGTGAAATGAAAAATAATGATAATTATTTAAATTTTAATTTTTAGTAAATTTGATAAGAGTTAGTAGAAATTGTACTCGAAAGCTATTTCAATTTATCAAATAAGTAATAAAGATACAAAATATTATTTTTAAAAAAACGAATATTGTTCAATGAACAAAGCACAAAAAATAAATAAATAGAATTCTTATTCGGGTCATTACTCGTTATACTTGAGCTTTATTACGTCCTCACAGCTCTTGCGTCCAAGAAAAAAATATAATGAGCATTTGTCCGCGTGCGTGTCTCTCGTCGAACTCCGACCAATGCGTATCCACGGTAACCCGATGCTGAAAATTCTCTGTGTGCGTTTTATTATTATTATTTACTGGCCCCGAGTAAAAAAATCTCTCCTGGTCTGTTATTTATTCAATCCTCTTATAAATACTCTACATCATTGCCGACGGCCTGAAAAAATATCTTTGTACTTTAGCTATCTGGTATTGTTGTGACTAAATCATCCGTTAATCAAGTTCAATACTCTTCACGCCATTACTTGAATTTATTCACAAATTTGTAGAACAAAGGATTAAGATAAAAGATAAAATCCGAATGCTATTTTGAATATTATTGAAAGTAAACGACTTGTCAAGAGGTATTTCTTTAAATATATACAGAGTGTTCAGTAAGTAAGGAAACAGGTCAATTGCTATAAAAAATGAGAACAATAGAAACCCTTTACTTACTTACTGAATACCATATATATTATGCATAGGGTTTTACATTTTCTGGAAATTTAGCACTGAAGGAGTTTTAAAAAAATTGCTGTAAAGTCGGAAAATTTTTTTTAAAAGCTATTATTTTAGTACTTTTTTTTTATCATCTCTAAATTCAAATTTAAACTGCTGTGAATTATAAATGTCGTATAAATATCATTCTCGGCCTTGCTCCTCCTCACGCCCAGATTTAAAAATTTTCATAACTCGTGCATCAACCTCAGTCTATATTTCAAATAATAATAATATCTGATATATTTTGGTTCAAAAGGTTTTATCAATTAGTAAATTTTCTTTATTAGAAAACACAGTTCAATCATTTTTGTTACCGTGATTAAAGTTTTGGTAAGTGATCAGGGGACTTATTCCTCTTAAAAAGAAAATTATTTCTAAGCTAATACACAGAATGATTTTTTATCATAATTCACTAAATAATACAGAATAAAAATAATTTAAAAATTGTTTTTTTTTTTGGTTACCTATTCTTCTTGATTTATTAGCTATGTAATACTCTTTAAGTTCATTCCTTTTGTCACCCTCATAAAGCATAAGAGATAAATTTAAACATTATTAAATAGCTAATAATTCAAGAATATGTAACAATAGGTAATCAAAAAAAAAAAAAACAAAAAAATGTATAAATTATTTTTATTCCGTACGTATTTTAGTGGGTTTAGTAAAAAAATCACTCTGTATAACTCTATGACAAAGTTGCACAAACTGGGAGCCTTCAAAGTGGTTCTAACAAAATATATGAATGCATATAGTTCCTAGCCCAACTTATAACAATGAGATAATTTTGTATTGTAACAATTACAGTATAATCTTGTGAAACATTCAATTACTGAACATCTCAAATAAATAAAAACCAGCGGTATTACATAAAATTGTATCTTTATAGCATCCAAATTGAGGATTTTTTTCATTATAAATACATCAATTTTGTGAAAAAATTAAAAATGTTTTTAATAATTAAATTTACAATGAGCAATCAAATTTCTTTCCAATTACAGGGCCTATTTTATGTAGAAATTTCCTGCGTTGAAATAAATTTTCATTTTAGAAATTTTCAACTTATAACATTTATTCGGCATTGAAAATACACTGAGAATATTTCAAGTTTTCGATAATAGATTTCATTAAACTTTATAAACAAAAACATTCTTTTTTTTTTTTGAAAAATATACACTTAAAATGTAACATAAAGAAAGAAATATACTGTGCTGATTCGTGAGGTTTTAGTAGTAAACATATTGTGGAAATACTGTCATTCTAAGTGTTAAAATCTATTTCGTATAAATCGTAGCACTCGGACAGCTCATAAACATTTTGAGTGCAGTACACGCATGAGGTATCTTGTTTCCTCGACATGCAATGCGCCACCCCAATCGTAACAGTTTTGCAGATTCTATCTGAAGACTATTCGTGAATAAGATTTCTAAGAGTAAAACTTAAACAAGAAAAATTTTAATAGATAATTAGGTCATAATTCAATACAAAACTTAGTTATTCCGTAGCATTATGACAATTAAGAAAATCATCTAACTTTCATTTTATTTAATTTACATGAATGTTTGAATGAAAATACCTATTCAGTACTGGCACTTTCAGTAATCTTTTTGCTTAAGCGAATAGATTCTTATTCTAATTATGATTCAGATACCGAGTTGGTCGTGAATATAGTTTTTTATTCTATAATACAAAAAAATTATATTAGCATGCATTTCTATAAGAAAATTAAATTTTTTATATTAAACTTGTGTTTATATAGTACAATTAAAAAAAGACTGGATATCATGAAAAGTACGTCTTTCTGCTTTGTTATTTAAACAAAAATAAACTTTTTTATGTGGTCCCGTGAGAAAATATACTTGACCTCAATTAATCACCAGTATCCTAAGTAGCAGTCCTGAGGATCAACTGTGTATTGCTGCGTTTGTAATAAATCCGTTCATTAATTTCATTGAGTTTTCCGAAATCCGTTGCTACGAGGCAGTCGTTTTTCAATTATTTCTTTTATACGGACTGCAAACAACAAAAATAATAATAATAAATACAGAGATGTTTTGTTTTGTACGTCGTTTGACCAATACTAGTGGATAAAAACTAGACGTTTGTAATCTCAGTCAAGACAGATGATGTTGCTTATGAATAATGATACCGCCGATGAACTAATCGGTTTTCCGTTGCTGCCATCAAATTTCGTGCCGTAGTTAATTTATAAAAATAATGCTATGGACATTGAATCTCTTAGATTCATTATATTGGCAACAATAAATCATGTCTAGCAATTACATTTAATGGATTCGGTAGAGGGAATAACTAAAGTGTGAAGACAAAATGTACTTGTGACGCATTTATTATTCTAAAGATATTATAACGAGCAAACGAAAAGGTATCGCAAAAATTACACTTTCATAACCATTAAGGTAAAAAATAAAAATAAATTGTCATTTTATTACTTTTGTCACTGTTAAAATTACATGTTGTGAAACTTATTGCGCTATCATATTTTATATTTCAATTTACTTGAAACGACTTCCTATCATCATTTCAAAACCTATTCCGTAATGTAACACGGTTAGTTTCCTATCAAATTTATTTTTATTATGAATCCAACATCGGGTGTTTAAGCTAGAGCTTAGCTTCTTAATGACTTTCACGAATAATAATTACTACGGAGAAAATATCTTTTTAACGAACTGTTGTATTTGCCGATATTATCATTGGGTGTGTCTGAATGAATATTTATTAAGTATTGGAATAAAGTGTTTGTCGTCGTACAAAACGTGGCGTTGAAAAAATAGGCGTTTCATATTAAATACAAAATACCATATTTTTATTTGCAGCGACTGAATTTTGTTGATAGAATTATTCATACAGCTGCATAATAATGTAGAATGTAAGAATCAAAGGAAGAAAAAGGGCGGGTGACGGACAAAGACAGAAAGGGGTACGCGGCATGTATAATGCGCAAGGTTTTATGCAAACGTGCAGAATGTTGAGCACTCTCTCAGAGTACTTGGGATTTCTAGTGATGTTAATATGAGGGCAACCACTTGAATGGTATACAGTCATGCCTAGATTGAGCGTTTTGAAATTATTCTCTTTTATTTTTCTAGTCTACCGAATAACTCACTTATAACTTCCAAAGGGTGATACGTGTATATTCACAATATCACATAAAGCGGAAATAAAATGAAAAAAGCAAGAGAAGAGGAAATCTTGCTCGACAAAGGCTATCGACGGCAGGCCTTTTGGGATTTGGTAGATTAGTATATAATATGGCCGTAACAGTCTTCTCTGCGCACTGCTGTAAAAGAATTCCCTTCGGTGTAAAATATAAGTGACTAATACGACGCTAGCTGGTTGGATACTCGACGGAGCATATTACTGCTGATACGAAGTTCGTGTGACAACTTGTATACTAACTATAGTACATAATGGTACACTTTACTGCAACGAACGAGTAAATATGTAGTGGTTTTTAGTGAAACTATCTTAGCAACTATGACATCTGATTTGTTTAAAAGTTTTCAACCGTTTTGTATTCATTTATAAATTAGAATAAACGATAGCTATTTGATTAACAGCTAACAGTCTTTATTTACGAGTGTCCGGAGGCTCAAAACTTCAAATTAAAAATAAAAGCTTCGGAACACGATTAAAACTGAATGATTAGAATATGTATTATATTTGTATGGATTACACAAATTTATTATTTAAAAAGAAAAATATTGATATTTATTGAAAAATATTACTCTTTCAATTGTACAACTTTGTGCTAATGAAGTTATAAACTATTTTTTAATTATTTAGCTATCAGTTCCGTTTTTAGGAGTTGAGAACATTTTTAGAGACATATTTAAATATTAAGAAACGTAAACTAAAATATTTTCGACACACGATTGATCAAAAAAAAAAAAAATATTTTATATTAATGGTAATTTGTCATCAAATATATTATAATTATTAACAAAAATAATCATATTAATGAAAGGCTCTATAAAATTCTAATTTTTAAAGACTTTATAAAATTATAATTTTAGCTCATTAATATTATTTAAAAGGTGATCTTAAAAAATGTGGTGATAAAATTCATGAAACTATTTGTGCTAAAATTTTAAATACTTTTAATTGCATTACACTTTATGAATAGAATAGGGTCAGTATTTTTATCCCGTTAAAATATTATTAAATATAATATAGATATTTTCAAAAAGTAGTATATATTTATTTAATTGAAATCAATTTAAGGATATCTACTATAAAATTTATTTTTGGGTGTGTGAACGTAATTTTAATAATTTGTATTTATAACAAAAAAATATCTACAAATGTAGTACATTAAATCATACGGTTTAATTTCGTTAATTTAAATTGTTTTCGTTCTTGTTTAATATATGTTACATCTATCACTTAATCTAATTGAAGTATAATACACACTTATACAATATAATGATTTTGAAAACAATGAAATTGAAATCATTAATTAAATTTTGGCTTTAATCTAATTGGATCATTTATATCGCAGATCTCTAATTTAAATAACTAGGTTTATCAGATTAGAAAATAATTGTTATAATTAGAATTTCAAATTAAAAAAATAAATATATACTAATTAGTTACTAAATAAATATTAATAATACGCTTAAAAAAAAGTGTATTCGTTTTCGCATAAATAAATAAATAAATATATATATATATTACACCAATTTGGTCAATCTTTTGTTGAAATATTATTATTTGTATATACAATTAGTATATACAATTAGTGTATATAATAATTATATCATACTTCCGTATAGACATTTTCGAAATATTTCTTGCAGTATATTTGAGAAATTATAACTTTTTAATCATAACTTCATTATATTTTATAATATTAGTTTTAANGAAATTATAACTTTTTAATCATAACTTCATTATATTTTATAATATTAGTTTTAATTGAATTGAATTGAATTGTGTTGACGTCAGTTTATTTGAATTTTTCATAAATTTGTGATACATTTCAATAGATTCGTTTTTAACGTATTTATAATAAATTCTTTGCTGTATCTTTTAATCAATCACTTTAATATTTCATTAGACTAAAACTGAATACTCACATGACTATGGCAATGACTTCGTTGATGAATCACCTTCTGCCAGTAAAGAATATTCTTTCTCAACTCTACATTCCCATTCTTCTACTTGATTCTGGGCGATTTCTACTTTTTCATCGACTTTACTGACTTTATCCTGTAAATCCATGATACATTTTTCATAAAACTTGTTTTGTGACGATATCATTTCAAAATCATCCTCATCGTATTTGCACTGGACATCTTGTATGTAAGACTTTGTCAATTCGATTTCTTGGTTCATTTTCAACGCAGATTCTTCCTCGTATTTATTATTATTTTCCACTTCACATTGAAGTTTTGAAATTTCTTGATTAATTGTGTCCAGCTTCAATTCAAATTCTTCCCTCCAACATCGCGTTACTTTCATTTTTTCGGTAACATAATTGACTAGTTCTCGGTCGCGTTCCTGTTTTCTGTTTAATAAATTATTTATTTCTTCAGTAAGTTCCTGTATTTGTGTTCGGTAAAAATCTTCGCACATTTCATCCATTTTTGGTAAATACAATATGAATTGCATAAACTAAACCAAAAAATTATTTCTTAACAGTTTAATATAAATTTTAAACCGAAGTAGTACGTTTTTTTATATACGATTTACCATAGTAAAATATAATTATTTTTAATAAAAAATCAATTGTTTCATTCAAGTTTGAACAAAACTAAAGTCAATCATGGTAAATTACTTTTGTTATAAAATTGTATTAAATTTTGAAATTGAAACAATCTGAATTAATTAATTAAACATTTATTTATGGTTGCGTAACAACAATTACATTGAAGAAGCTAAAATGAGTTGAAAAACTCATTTACGGAAAATTACTTGATGATCCTCGTAATTTGTAAAATTATAAATGTAATTTTAGCGCAGTCAAATTATTACTACAATTTACAACACGTTTAAAGTAATTAAATTACAGGAGTAAAACAGCAACACTAAAAGCATCGATTAAGTAACAGGTGCATTTTTCTACTAAACATCACACTAGTATGTTACATACGATTATAAAATTAAAATTAATTTTTTGCAATGTAAATATGACATATTATATATTCTCCAGAGTAATATATAAGAATTTCTTTTAGGCAGTATTAGTTGGAAGTATAAAGTTGCTTGCTTTCCTGGATATTTCTTCTTATTTTTAATATAATAGGAATTTTTATTACAGATATTATTTGATAATAATCTAGAAATCAACAAGATTAGTTGCAAACAAATAATTTTAATAATATTTTCAATGAAATAATATTTTTTATTGTTTATCAACAATTTTATTATCGGTAAGAATAATACAAAAAATACATTCCTATCTGAAGTCTTATGAAAGTTTGTAGGTAAATTCCTTATTTTCACAGGGTTAATTATCGACACATTTTTAGATATAATGTGAGGTTTTTTAATTTCTCATATGTAAATGCTTAATAAATTTAAATATTTTTTGAGTTAAACATATTACATGTTTAATATCAATGAATAAATCCAGCCTTTATTGACTCACTTATAGAGCAAAATGCGCTTTATTCATATTATACTAGAAAACACGTGTCGCTCTAAATATATAGAATACTATACATTTTATATGATTACATGGATAATCAGATTTGCGTTAAACTTGAAAACGGCAAAATACATTTTGTACGAGAACTTAAAGAAGCACATGATGTCAGTGCGATTTCCTTCAGTTTACTGCCAGCAGAACGGTTTAACGTTGTAAATAATTCATATGGTAAAAACTATTTAGCGTTGTCAAAGAGTCAATGTTAAGTGCATGGAATTGTTAATGTAAACGAACCGAGTCGACAAAGTAACGGTTTTTTACCGAGAAAACGCCCCTTGCACATAATAACAATATTTTATCCAAAATAGTGGTAACCGTCGCCAATTTGTATTGAATATTTTGTTATAGTTAACTAAACTTTCGCTGTTTATGAAATCATGTTTAATATATAAATACACTCGTAATATACAAGGTAATTGATTTAATAAAATATTGAAGTATACTTTAAGTTTTTTTTTGTTTTAAAATAGTTAATTTTTGAAAATCGTTTTTTTCTATTTTACGTAACTAATTGAAACTATCAGCCGCACAAAAAAAAAACCCCATGAATTTTTTTTTTCGATTTTTTATTAAAGCTAGTATAATATACTTTGAGATGGAAAAAGACTATCTGAAATCTCGATTTATAAGAGTTATTGGACATTACAGCCAACATCATACAATTTTTGGTGTACTGAAATGCTTTGCATCAAAAAATTAAAGACTTTCCAACTAACTCAAACGATTCTTCTATGAGCAGTGCGCCTCTACAGTAAAAAATAATATAAATTTTAATGGATTCATTGAATTTGTTTCAAATATGCATCGAAGCGTTTAAAGACAGTGATTTTAATCAGCGTCAGATATAGATCAATATAATTTAAAAAATATCTCAAATCCAAATTCCCGGATTCCTTCTATACTTCCTTTGTTAGGAATTTTTCATTTAACATTTTTTTATGTTTAGAATAAATTAAATTTACACGGTTTTATAATGTTTTTAGAAAGATTTAATATTTTTAATTATTGATAATTGAGTTTTTCTTTCACCTAAATTTGTAATTATAAAGAGTGAATTTTTTATTATCACACACTCAATTATTGACAGAATAAATAAAAGTTATACAATTTTTTTTTGGTTATTTTTAGTTACATGCTATTCTTGAATTGTTAGGTATATAATACTTTTTAAGTTCATCCCTAATGTATTGTAAGGGTGTCAAATTTGTTTTTTCAAATGAAAACAAATATTTTGAATTTATTTAAATGTTTTGTTATTAAATATTATATTATATATATTATTAATATTAAATGACATTAAAATATTTAATATGATGTTACTTTTTTATTAAATATAAAACTTTTAAGTTTCAAATTTTAAAATAAATATACATTTATAATATACAAGAGATTACAAATACAAAGAGCTAATTGTTTTTTTTTATTTAGTTTTCTATAATAAACAAATAATTCTATGTTTAAAATTCAAATCCAACTTACTATTAAAATATATAGCCAAAATATTTCATTAAGTTCAAAATATGTGTTCCAATTTGAAAACACATAGTTGATACCCTTACAATACAAATGAGATGAACTTAAAGAGTATTATATAGCTAATAATTCTAGAATAATATGTAACTATAGGTAATAAAAAATAAAACAAATTTTAAATTATTTATATCCTGTATTTATTTAGTGGATTTTGATAAAAAAAAATCACCCTATACTTAGAAAAGACAATATTCGGGTATCTAGTAGTGTACGATGTTCTTGTGTACGATATCATAGAAAAATAATAGTTTTAATTAAATTATTTTCAGTAAAATCTTCAATATTTTATTGTATTATTGTATATATTTTTAAAAAACATGATTGGCTTTAGTGAAAATTTGATTTTTTTTTTGGTTTTGTCAAATGAGATAAATTTTATATTTTATAATTTTTTTTATATAATAATATGTTTTGTACATCAAACGACTCGTGTCAAGAAAATACCAGTGTGAAATCGTTCAGAAATTTACCGCAAGTACTTCCCGGATAATCAAGTATTTTGAAACCATGCATGCCATTTTGTTTGTTCTTTACACACACATATGACACGAACAGAAATATCGAAATAAACAGAAATTCAATCTTCTTTTTAGATACCAACTCCTTAGAAACTTATAATTAAGTTCAATCGACTCTTTGAAATATCAAAGAAATACTAAAGAGAAAAATAAATATACTTAGAATTTCATACAACTGCATAATATATTATATAACATTACAAATTCTACCTGTGATCTTTAGATATAGTTTTAGAAATCATTTTACAATCGTTTGTATTTATAATGTGCGTGTAATGTGATTTTCATCATAAAATTTAAATAATCTGTTTTTCAACTGCAACGTTATAGTTCATTAAAAATAATTTTATAACAGTTTATAAGATAATTAAGTCAATGAATACAATACTACCACTTTAATGGCCGCTCTCATTCATAAAACGTTATCTTCAATAGCCAATTTTTTACTTTTAGCCAGTAGATGTTTCTATATTGTCTTTGATACAATAGATGCACATATTGTTTAATGTTGCTGAAATTAATAATAGTTATTTAAACGCATAAGTTAACGGACCAGATATTTTGTTAGCTATTAGCTGAAATATGAGATAAGAGTTTTAGAGAAAAATATATTTATTTTAAAAAAAACACGATACTAGACTGCTCTTAGAACACAATTTTTTGTAATTTTACACGCAATTTAGCTAACATCACATAATTTGTATTAAAAATATAAATTTAGTCAATCAGTAGTTCTTTTAGATCGTTTCGATTTATATTTCATTTAATATATTTTTATCGTTTTTATATAATCATTAACGAACAAACGTGGCAAGTGCAATCAGTAAACAAACCTTTAAGTCCACATCGCCACCGGCCGTTGTCATCTTTTTAATTTATTATATCAATTCAACTACAAAGAACTTTAAGTTAAAATAAAAATTTGATTACAAAAGTAGATCCCTTTTTAACTGGGCACGAACAATGTAGATGCACATATTTAATTTTTTTTTACAAAGTTACAACTTGAAAAAGTAATTTTTTATTCTAAACTGATTGGTAAAATTATAAAATACAAAAATATATACCAGAAAAAAACAGAATACTTTTGGAACGTGATTAAATGAGTTAAAATATATGCGTCGATCTAAGCGAAATGCAAAATTATCGCTCTGTAGCACATACATAACAATATTTGTATAAGAATAATTTTGTTATCATTTTATTCATAAGAGTAAAAAATTTTGTTTTCTTGTAGTCTACATGACTCTTTTTCATGTGCAGAAAATTGTTTAAAAATATTATTTTATATTATACCGCAGTTATCCGGGTCAAACCACACCCCATACCTATTTCCGCATTATGTCGAATATGTGTGTTTATCCTCTCTTGCTAATATATACATACTTAAGGTATCTTCGTAAAAATAGGGATGAAAAACTACCCATTTATAGTTTTCAATACACCTATAAATTACTCCTCATTCGATCAAAACTTTCATCTTGGTTGGTGTTCTAAATTTTAACATTCACCTTTAAATATCTATATATTTGGTATATTTATATTTAATTATGATTAATGAATATTGCTAAAACTTATATAATTTTAACATATTTTCTTCTTAAATCATAAAATCTCATTTTTGCTGTGTTCTATGAAAAATTAAGTAAAAAATAAAGGTAATTTTAATGATTTTTGAGAATCTTCTCTATACCCTAACAGATTTTTATACATATAAAAATATTATCGTCACTGTGTAAAATATATTTTTAATTTGTTTTCATATAACCCAAAAACATTTTTCCGTTATGATATGGAAGTAAATATACATTATTTGTGTTGTTATTGTACGTTTGTTATTACATCATAAATTACTTCAATACCTGTCAATATTATGATCAAATAACTAACACATGAAATACATTTTGTTTTATCCTCAAAAATATTTTCCTTAATATTGAGAAATACCCTTTGAACTACCGAGTAATTGGATAAAATACATTAAGATCCAATGTATGTCTAACATTTAACTTTAATTCTGGGGGACAAGTATTTCGTGATTGAGAAATAATGAATTGAGTAAGTGATAAATTATTTAATAGAGCCTTTTGTCTTTTGACAGAAAACATTGTCTGTAATAAAAAATAATAATTTTATATTCATCACTAATAATTTTGAAAGAACTGAAGATATATAAAAAATATTATTGTTTAAATAAATTCATAAATAATAAAATATGCATGACATATTTAACTTGAAAATTCACATAAATATGTATTTTTTAAATAAACGAAAAAAATATTCCAATAGTATAAAGTGTTTAATTAAATAATATTAGTAAAGAAACACGAAAAATGTAATATTTATACTTCTTCTTCATATAACGTCGTATATAATAAAAATCTCAGAAGTGAAGCCGTTAAAAGGTTGAAAAGAAACCTTTGGTAAACCATTACACTGTAGCTTATTGAAAATCCGTATGGTAAACAACACTACTTCTGGTAGTTAGATTGTAACTTCTAATATAAGAGAACTTTAGACGGTAAATGATCTCTACTCGTCCGTGAGTTTTTCGTCTTTTTGAATATAACAGCTATCGTTCAAACTTTTAAGTGCATAGACCAATATATCCTATATTTTTTCTATATGGTTATGAGGTACACTACACAACCAAGTATTGGGGTCGATATTTCAGCGTACACAGTAAACAAGACGGACACTCAATAATGTATTAAGCACTAATATCTAGACAAATATTTTCTAATCAGTTTGAAAAACCTCACAAGTTAATAAAGAATTGAGAGAAATTGTTATACAAATGTATTGCACACATAACAGTAACTTATAATTTTTAATTAACTTTAACTATTAATAATGAATAGTTATTGTGTAGTTATTCCAATATTTACCATGTAAGAAATAAACAGATTGTAGTTCAAATGTACGTCAAAAATCATAAAAATATAAAATGATAGTTTAAATACTAAACAACACATCATTATTGATGCGAAACATTACAAGCATTTGAAAAAAATGACGTTGTTACAATTTCAAGTGTCTCAGTTAACATACTATAGTATATTTCAATTTTTTTGACTAGCTATTCAAATAAACACAAATATTTAGATTGGCTTATAATATAATCACTAATAATTAAATATTTGTAATTTATTTAAATTTTATTTGGATCATAACATTTAATATCTCAAGAATATCGAATAAATATGATACTTATAAAGAGAAAATATATGTCTAATCAATAAATTTTTATAGAATTATTTATAATATAAATTAACAAAAAAATAGCTTCAAAATGTTCAACTTAATTTTTGGTGATTCGTAAATAAGTACGTTTTGATACCTATAAGTATACAGTAGACAATAGTTTAAATTATAAAGATATTTCTCTATTGACTTTTAGGTATTGGATATTTTTAGATAAATCCTTAGGAATAAGGTTCTTGTTTTTAACAGTAGAGTAATTTTACAAAATTTGTGGTTAGAATCGGAATATCGAAAATTGATTTAAACTTTTGTAAAACCTTAAAAACAAAAATGTGAACACAGGTGGTTAAATATTTAAGTTGGAAGACGATAAATCGTCTGTCGGTTTTACTGATCGAGCAAAGTGTCTACTCTTGTATTATTTTTATTTATGACAACCATACTATACAGTTGTGTTACTTGGTAAAATACATTTTATGTTTCTGCAATGAAAAATACATTTCTTTATTATTATTTTTCGAAATTTTGTTGATTTATTTTAAATAATAAGAAGCATTATAAATGTTGGTAGTCATAATGCAAGAATGTTTAAAATATTTTTTTTAAACTACTATAACTTAAATGAAGAAACCATTTTGCTTTAAGTATACGTAAAAGTCCACATTGTAAATCAATGACGATTCCATCGTGTTTTTCTTTTCATCCAGAGGATATTAAAAAAAGGTCAATTCGTAAATTTTGCTGTGTCTGCATGAATAGTATTGTGATACGTTAAATTGATAATAGTCACTGAATTATTTAAACTAGTCCATAAATAACAATAACAATCACATCTAAACTTTTTATTGTATTAAGAGAGACCTATAGAATCATCGTCATAATATGTACTCTACATTATAAGAAATTGCTAAAGCTTATTTCAATTTTAATTAAATTAAAAATTAGTTTATAATAGATAAAACTGGTATAAATCGCTTATAATATAATATGTGTAAGTGATTTATATATTATGTATTGTATAATATGACTTAAAAAGGAAATTAAAAAAATGTTATGGTTTACTAACGGCTTATTTAATAATGTATATGGTTTTGAGTCTACAATGTAAATTTAAATGTAGAAAAATGCGTTTAAGAGTTGACTTTCAAATGTCGTAAATCGAGAGTGTAAATCGTTCAGAACGTATGTCGAAAAATAAACTGGTAGTTTCCCATTTGGCAATTTAAAGCTTAATTTATATACATTTATAAATAAATAACTATCTCTAATTCGCTAATACTATTACAACACCAGTTGTAATTTACTGTTATCGGATCTATCTCAACATTCTAACATGAGAAATGTAATAAAAATGTGTTGGGCTTTTATCAGCGAATACTGTACTAAAAAAACCAAAACGATAGTTTATTAAAATTGTATTTCCATAAAAAAAACTATAAATGTATACATGCATTACAATAAATTTCACAAATGACCCAGTTAAGAATGGATGAATATGATCATGATAGGTATTTTAACAGTGCCTCAAAAACCAAGTGAGCATGGCACATGAGTCCGGATCTACATGCATTAAAAGACCTACTATTTTTAAAATTATGCTTTGGTGGAGGGGTGGAAGCACTATTCACAAATTCGAGCTTGTTTAGTTATGGCACTGTACTTAACCCATAATTATATGTTAATAAATAATAAGATATAAAAAACCCAGCAGAGTGGAGTCGCGGTGCAAAGAGCACGTGGCATAGTTGGGTCCAGTATAGATGATATCTGGTAGTGATTAAATTCACAATCATATAAATCCCTTCGATGCAAATCTGTAGATAGAGTTTAATTTTAAAAAATTGGTGGATTATTCCAAAAGCTACATGATCTCCTATTTCCTTTTTTATATTCTGATTACAAGTTTTATGATTTTTAAGTGTAATATATGAATATATATATATATATATATATACGGGGAACTAGGGAAATTTTTTCAATTTTTGAGAGTAATGTCTTCGATTAAATACGATTTGTAATCTGTTGACGTATCGTTGAAAGAAATTCGTTTGGTGAGAGTTGAAAAAAGTGGTAAAATACACACAAAAAAAAAAAACACATCATAGTAAAATTAATACCTTCTCAGCTTCGCATTGAAGCTAAAAATAATTAAAATAATACACACAGTTTAAAATACACTCTTAAGCTACAAAAACCTTATTTTTACGTAGTTAGCTCTGATTGAAAGTTTAAACTTAAGTTCAATTTTAGCTTATAAGATAATTGTGTTTAACTTTTTCTAAAGGTTAATAGCAACTAAAATGACAGTAAAAGATTAATGAGTTTTTCAAGTAAAATTATAAACAAGAGAGTAATATTTATTACATTGACTTAAAAGTAAAGATTCATTTTTAAATAAAAAATATTTAAGTAATTATATAACACTTCAATGATTAAAGTATTAAAAAAGTACTTGAATCATTTTATTTGTGTCAGTGTCAACTTAACAATAATTTATTCTTTATCTTAGAATTCCATTTGAAACCTTAGTCTTAACACCATTTTAATGAAGTTGTTATAACATGAAATATTTTTCATTTCATCTAATATCCTAAAATGTAAAAAATAAAAAATGTCATCAACATGTTATTATATTTAATCAATGCCTGTTAATTTTCTTAGTGGAATAATTAAAAGACATGTTTGTATAATAATCATGATAAATTTGCAATTCTTTCCAAAAATAATAATCGGTAATTAGATATATTAGTTAAAAATGGTATACTCTTTTAAAAAATAAATAATTGAAATAAATGGTACATCGATATTTCCGGTGTACCAAAAAAGCCATTGTTTTATTTTGCTAATTTTTTAGTAAAAATTTCGATTGTAATCATAAAAATAGTTAAATTTTACAGTAACCCTTCTTAGTCTTTAATATAAGACAAACATGTTTATTTTGTTTTAAAAATCTTAAATTTGGGATACATATATACAAACAGGGATTTTAGAATGAAAGAAGATACTTGGTAATTCAATTAACTTTACCGGTGTAGTATTTTTAGTTGGCTCATCGCTAAATTAATTATATAGTCGGAAACGCATTTAAAAGTTTGATACTTACACCAAAAGAATTGAAATTGCGCAATAGCTACCGATAAACGAATTCAATTAAGACAAAAACTTTGAAACCGCAGTCACTGTTTCCATTTATTGTAAAACTCTATCATAAGCTGTACTTCACCATATGGTTATTTAGAACTTATTACTTGTTTTGAAATCAATACAAACACTAAGCAGTTTCTTGTCGATAGCGAAGAAAACATAAAATATTATTGCCGGTACATTAATATTTTATTATATTAATCTTCATGTCATAAGTCAAAAACTTGAATCCTCGGGTAATGTAATAACAATGAAATCTAAATTAAAAAACTATACATTATAAAAATATTTAACAATGTTTCACAAAAAAATTTTAGGTTTTGTAATTACATTTTATAATTATAACTAACGAAAAAATAAATTCACAATTAAATCATTGTAAATTTATCAACTTTTTTTACGTCTCAACCTAATAAATAAATACATTTTCAACTAAGCATTTTTCAAATGATATAATGTAATATATATATATGTATAATAGTGAGCTTATTAAAATTCCTCATTAAAACTAAATATACTGTACGATTTTTAAATATCGATACCTTTCTTTTTTTTTATAAATAATGATTTTTTCATAAAAATGTATATAATTTTTTTATTTTAATAAACTTGATATTCACAATAGTTTATAAAAATAAATTAAATTTTAATTTATACATTTTTATAAAAAAGTCATTATTTAACAAAAAATGGAAGTTTACTTAAAGAAAGTACTTAAAAAATCGTACTGAATATAATTTTATTTAAATTTCTAATCAACTGCTGCTTACACTAAATCACTATTTCTTTCAGTAATAACATATGGTACAAATTTATTTGTTATAACTCTATATGTACTTTGTCGAACTCTTCTTGTTATGTTCGATTTTATTGCCATTCGTCAGCTATGTTCATTATTATTATTATTGCTATATCTTAATCGTCCTTTTGGACTAAGGGGATGATCTGTAAAAACTTTTTTCACAAATGGATTTACTACTCTATTTCTCCCAAAACGCCTATAAAACAACTTCAGTAACAAACAAAACAAAACCATCATAAAATTGTCTGTCATGATGATTTTTTATAAAACAAAAATGTTTAGCACTTGACTTATGAGTATTAAACAAGTCTACGTGGTCATAAAAATGCTGGTGCATACAAAATTTTGTTTTAAAAAAATTCAATAACATATATTTAAGGTTAATATTGGAGGTTGATTTTTATTAATTATATGAACATAAAGATATATTTTATTTTGCTTTTTGAAACAACAATAAACCCAAATAAATTAATAAATAATCAACAACTTTTAGTTATTTTATAAGCTATTCATATTTTATCATTGAAAGCATCCCTTTATTAATAAAATTATATTATATCTTACTAGTTTTTATTAGAGAAAGTTTAACAATTATTCTGGAGAATCAAATTTGATAATTGTAATAATATCTTTACTAACATTTTTATTTAAAAAACAACTTGGTTTTAATTTATATAAAATATGATTATATTAAATTAAATTAAAGTTAAATGTATTTTTATGATCATACACATGAACTGAAGTAACTTTTTCAGTCTCCATGACTTCACATGATCTATAAAATGTAATATAAAAACATTTGTCTTCAAATTGCCAAAATAATTTATGAGGAATTGTGGTATTTGCATGGACCACTTATTTTAATGTGAATTAAAAGTTCCTATACATAGATATAACACAAACATGGTCTTGTGACAATAAACAAAAAAATTTTTCTTTAATGAATTGTAAAAATTTTCATTTTGATAACTTGTTAAAAAAGTGTTTATAAATAAGTCGAATGTTGAAAACCTAAAAATCATTAAAAATACTGATACTACAATTGATAAATAAATAATTTCCATGAAATCGTGTTAGTTATATTTAATCGAAAATATTATTAGTTTATAATTAAATATTAAAAACAATTTTAGATATTATTGTAAGAAATCTTTCAAGTAATTATTTAGTAGAGAAAATACCTGTTATTAATTGGTTATTTTTGAATAATATACTTAAATTTTCACTGTTTTTACATGAATAGTTAATATTCAAAGCCGGAAAAAATTAGTTTTTTTTATAGAAAATGATTTTCATAAAATATTTACTACTAGCACATTGTTCTATCTCATTATATTCTTTGATTTCTACTGATCAACTATGTTAATACTATTAGCGTCTTCATAATCATAAACAAAAATTTAGTATATAATTCAGTATACAAAAAGTTATTTATATTACAAGGTCAAGGTATTTTCCTTAGTGTTTTTACTAATATTAATATAAAATTTATACTCAAATCAATTTTGTCATTGGTTAAGAAATGAATAAACATTTTTATTTTATGTTCGTTAGATGTCATCTGTTAGAAACAAATTGAATTATAGAATAACATTCTAAATGATGAAATTGTAGTATATACTTTGTATTATAAATTGAAAGACAATTATTTTATTTTTACTTTTGGAAAATTGAAAACTCAAAGATAATAGATTCGATAAAGAAAAATGCTTCATATCATTTACTCTTGCTTCTAGCAAAATATATCTATAAAAAGGCTGATAGAATTTAGGAAACTTAGTAATGTAATATTATTTGCTTGATCATCAGTTTCATTCCGGTAAAAAAATATTATAGTATTCAGTAAAAGTATATTTTAGTTTTATCATAAACAGAGAAACACAAGGTTAGCGCCTTTTTAATAAAATTTTGTTGGGAAATATCTTAAATCTTATACCTTAAAATCAGGTCACCGAACATCTTATGCATTATTTGTTTTAAACAATGAAGTATTTTTAGACAATGTATCTATAGAAATCTTCAGTTCTTTGGTATGTGAATAATATGTAATAATATATTATTTACATACAACCTTTGATATGTTAAATATTTAACATATTACATCTAGAAAATCTGAAAAGAAGATAACCGAGAAAGTACAATAATGGTCATTAAGATGTTTGCGATTCATTAGATTGTGTAAAATTATTATAGATCATGTCTTAAAAAAATATAGTCAACTTCCAATTTTAATAATTTCTTTTTAATATAATCAGTTTTGAAGAAATATTCACAACAGTTATATATTTAAATAAGCAATTTGAGCCAATATAAAAAACAATGTTAAACTTGAGGGAAATTGGTCAATACTTTTTTTTTTAATAAAAGAACAAATTGTTTACTTTACTAAACAGAAGTGTATTTGGAAATCTTACAATAATGTATTTTTAATTTTCTTTAGTGTAAATAAGTTTACAATGATAATAGCTATTGACCAACATTGGTGGATTTCTAAGGTATTCTCCTTTTTATTCTACAGTATTAGCCTTCTTGATTTATTTTTCTTTGAAAGATGTTGCCAACAGGAAATAAGTTCTTTTAAGTCTGTATTGGCACACTTCATACATCGCGCAAGGTATATTGCTTGCATCCAAACAAAAAACATCAATATTATGTTAAGCTTTGCGTGTGACGAGACTTTCCTTGTCAAAATTATGCATTGCAAAATTCAAAAAATAAAATTACAGAACACTAAAGCAAGAAATATAATGGGAAACACAATACTATACAACCCATAGAAAGAAAAAATTTACATTATTCAAAGTAATTTTGATGTTTTACAAATAAATTTTGTAAATAAATAAAATAGGAAAATTGTTTTCTTTTAAGAAATGAATGCTCTATTATTTAAAAAGCTTGTCCTTTACCCCTACTATCCATTTAAATTTTATCAACTCAAGTTTTTTTATATGTTTAACCAGCTAAAAAATAAGAAAATTACCACATTTTAATAACTTCAGTACTTTAGAAGTGATTAACATTTTAAAGTAAAATAATTGCATTTAATTATTTACACAGGCCGTTAAATAACTCATTAAACATTAACATTAAATAATTTTTTTTTTTTTTTAATCTACTCTTAGAAATATTTTTTTTTTACAATAAATTGATATTTACTATGGTTTAGAAAAATTAATTAAATATTAGTCTATACATTAAAAAAAAATCATTATTTAAAATATGAATGTGCAAAGAAAAATCGCATCGAAGCTAAAAAATATTTTATTTAGGGAAAACCCCCTCTTAATACATACAATAAAATAAAAATATCTAAGGTACTTCCAAAAAATGTTTGTATTGATTTATTTATTTTCCAAAAAAGGTATATGAATTTTAATTCAAAATGTATAAAAACAAAATTTTTGTGATATCTAAAATTGAGTTTGTTTAGTATCTTCAACTAGATGCAGTTTGTGATTTTTAGATATATTTTTAAGCAAAATCGGTCCAATAATAATTGACATGAGTATTTGTAGTAATTGGTACAAAAAAAATACATCATAGTAAAATAATATCTTTTTTACTTCACATGGAAGCTAAAAAGTAAATAACTAAATTTCTAGAATATTATAGAATTATATTATATTATAGAATATTAGAATATCCTAATAATGTAAAATAATCATTGAATTACTAAATTTTATTTACTTTAGCACCAATTATTGTTTTTCTCAATTTCTGTAGAGTTGTAAATAAAATATAATTTTAGTTATAATATTTTTCAAAAAAATGGCTTAATTTAATGATGAAATTAGAGGTGCTGGATTTCATTTTTTAAAAACTAACCCAGGTATTTTATTGAAAAAATAAACAACAATAATACACTTTTTTGGATGATACAAAATACGAGAAAAATATATTGGTCTCAGATGAAATGTGTAAAAAATAACTATTTTGGTGATTATTAATCTACAAAATGTTTTTATATATAATCCAATTATTAGAAATTTGAAACATGGATGTTCTTTTTCTAATTAGTTTTAGTCAGAAGTTAAAATCAACATTATACGTAAAACATATTATTTTTAAATTAACAAATTTAAATTCTTTTAAATTCATAATTTTGATAAAGTAATAGATAGTCTGACTTATGAAAAAAAGCATTGGATAAATTTTATTTTTAAGAAAAATCTCTGTGTTAACTTACTGAAATAAAAACCTCACTAATGTATCTGATATTTTATTTCTACTCTTCTGTGTTTTACGAGTCAATACTATTTTAATGAAGCTACGAATTTCGCATGTAAATTTTTTGTCGACTTTAAAGAATACTTGTCTTGTTAAAATAATTAAATGATGTAGTATAAAAAGAAACGTTTTTAATTTCAATATTTAATTTATCAAAGTATTGTAGTAAGATTTCTGGGTAAATTATTTTATTTAGTAGTTAATTAATTTATCGAAGAAAATATAATTATAAAGTAAAATATTTATTTAAATGCATACTTTTTTTTAAATAAAATTGAATTTCAACAAAAAGCGAGGGTGTCACAAGAACGTAAAATATAAAAAAATTCTGGTTATTATTTCAATCTATAAATATCAGTTAGATAAATGCATCTTGGAATCACAAAGCTGTTATTTCTTTAGATTATAAATTCCCGGAAACACGAACTTTGATAGCAAATATCTGCTTAATAGACGTTTGTTAAAATACAAATTATATTAATATTCATATACTTATACAAGAAAACAATGGATACAAGGTAAACATAGTTTGATTTAACCATTTTACTAAACAGAATTATTTGTAGTTCCCTTTTGACGGTTCTGTGGTAAAAAGCGTTAGTTCAATGAAATTATCAAAATTTAATAAGCACCACGAGGCATGAAAACTACCAGAACAATAAAAAATCATAATAAATAATGTAATTACATTTCTACGATACAATCAGGTCGAGTCTGATTAATTTTGAATAATCATACAATTAACAAATAATGCCAATCTTAATTTTGAATAAGTGACCAAAATAAAACTGTATTTTTAAAGAATATGAATTGAAAGATCTGTTATAATACATACACCACTCATTATTCAATAGTCTATAAATTATTGTCTATCAGTCATCAAATCAAATATATATTATTCATGTCAAACCTTTAAATTATTCCGAAAAAATATGTCTAAAAATGCATTGATACAAATCTAATGTATTAACTATAAGAATTTCTTTAGACTTAGTTCTTTAGTTTGACAAATCATCTATTTTAAGTAAAACAATATGTAATAAATAACACAATTTAGTAAGAGACAGATAATAGTAAAAGGTCGTGACACTTCTTGCACATATAGATGAATTTAATTTAATATAAAAGGGCATAAAAACTGTCAATTCGATTCACTATACTTTCACCTTATGAACTTTCAACGAGTGCAAGAAGTGGCTCGGCAAAATACGATTATACATAGTAAATTGAAGTATATTAATTTTTTCAACCTTACTCCTGATATCATTAAGGTAAATTCATACTTCACAGAAGATTTATAAGGTTTAAAGTTAAGTGTGATGAGTACATAAATAAAGTAGGGAACCAAAAAAATTAAGTGATCTCTAGAATAAAATATTGTTTAAATAAATAAAGAGAATCAATAACGTTTGTGTGAAGTTAGCCAACCTAGTCCAATCTTTGAATGGGTTACCTGTGTAGTCGATACTAATAAAATACTCTCTTGCGAAGATAGAAAACCCATTTGTCGTTCCTATACTACTCGAGGTATTTATTGAAACGACTCACAGTCAGCACAAGCTTAGATAACTATTGGTACGAGTGGCGTTATTGATAATTTATGTGTGTTAATTAATCACGATAATTAATATTTCAAATTATTATTATATTAATACATTTTCAAACATTACTTTGCTTTTCTATATTTTACATCTTCAAATAAAACTCTCGTACTCATTTTCCGAGATATAATTATATTATATTATTTTATTAAATAAATATATAGTAAATCAATTATTCTCATGCCCATACAAGACCAACAAATAACTATATATAATAAATCATTTTAATCATTAATTAAATTTTATATTTCATTTTTTTGAGTTACTATAGATCCTACTTGAAATATATGAAACTATTTGTTTTACTAGTACATCTAGTGATGCGATGAAATAAAATTCTCAAGAGAATTTTCTAGGACGGGATACATTCTTAAGAATATTCTTTTGTACATTATTATGAGAGAATATATTCTTAAAAAAAAAAATAGAACTAAATAATTTATTTAGAAATATTTAAACTAACAGTAAAAAAAACTTGAAAATTAACTAGGTTATTATAGTTAATAAATCACACTGTATACATATAAAGGCAAAAATAAAAGAATATTTTCGTATTCTAAGAATATTCTCGAAAATATTCTCAAAAAAAAAATTATTACTGTAATTTTAAATCACTTAGTACATCAATAATTCAGATTCAAATGTTTAACTGTGTACTTCGATTTATTTATTTATTATTGCGAAGCTCGTTAATATCCACGCACTTGTCCGTGTTTCATATTTTGTAGGGAGTTTAATTCAAAACAATAATATAAATTGCTTTTTAAAGTAAAGCTATAATATTATGAAATGCAGATATTGTAGAGAATCGATTGACGAAGCAAAAGTTTTATATCACAAAAGCGCTTAGGTAAGAGAAAAAGACAAACCATTGTTTTTGTATTCGACATTAAGAACTTCCAACTTGGTCATGCTTTTATTATTTTAAATCGATTTTGCTGAAATAAAAGCAAATATTAAGACATGCTTGACTCTCGTCTATATAGTAATTTATGTTTATAGTGTTTATATTTTGTTTGTAAAACTGACTAAGTGCAAGTCTTTTAATACAACATTTATTAAAAATTAAGTTTATTTGATGTAAGAATTAAGCTTTGTCATTTTTTCAGTTAAGTGACGACCAGAGAGTGTGAATAATCTTAATCTTTGTCGCCTTAAAAGTTTAAATAGGAAATATGGAATTTCGAGTAAAAGCATGTCACTTAATTATACCTATGTAGTGTACGTTTAGTGTAAACTGAAACGGCGGTTTGTTCAAATAATTGCTCGGCCGACAACACTTATTGGGTTAAAGGCAATTAAAAGATGGCGATCTCCATCGTTTATATTGCGCTGAACGAACACTTAAAGGGTTTAGTATTGTCTCTAGTATTCGGCCAATTGTAATTAACTAACGTAAATCATGTTGGTGTTTATTTACACGTAATTTTATATATAACAAAAAAATATTTTCAGCAAACTGTCTGTAAAAACGGAAATAAGGAACTTACGTTGTGTGTATTTAGGATTCGTTCTTCTGAAAAGCAAATTAAAAAAAAACACATGTACGGTACTGCACTAAGAAAATCGCGCAATTAAAGTGTTTTATATAAGTTTCCATTTACGTATAACTTGACCTATATTACATATTCAAATCTCTATATTTGCATGTGAAATTGTTATGACAACAGCACAAGCAAATTAGAACATTTTAGCACAATTTTAAGGCACAATTTTAGCATAAATTAACGAACATTTTATACTTTTTTACCAACATGAACCTAAAACTAATGTAAAATTTATAATTATCAAACAGTATTTAAAACTATCTTTATTAAATAAAACTTTTGAAATTCCAAAAAACTTGATTTTACAACAAGGCGATCAATATAGATCTTTTTGCAATAAATATGTATAAGCGTATTCTTCACTTTCCACATTTGTTCATTGAACTATGTACTGAATTTGGATATTATTTTCAGTGAATGGAAGTGAAGAACATGGACCTCGTTTCACAGTTGAGCCTCCCGTTTCTGTTTTCTTCTCAAACGCTACCGGAGCTAGAGTAGAATGTGTAGCCGAAGGAACTCCTCAGCCTCTGGTCAGATGGCAGACGGTTAGAGATGGAATGACAGTAACTGATGTGCGAGATGTTCTCCACGTGAATCACAACGGCACGTTAGTTTTCTCGCCATTTTCTGAGCATCAATATTCACCAGAAGTACACTCGGCAGCATACCGATGTATTGCTCACAGCCGAGCTGGTACGATTGTCTCACGCACAGTACAAGTTAAAGCAGGTAAGTTTTCTTCTGGTTAACTCACATCAAAATAATAATAAAAAAAATCACACAATCTTATAAGGGTGTTAAACGAAAAAAATTACAGAGAGTAATTTACTGACGCAGTTTTAAGGAGGAAAATATTTCAATTCTCGAAATGGAATTCTAAATACTTACCACGAATCAAACGATTTTCACAATTTTTATGTAAATATTCTGCGTGAAAAAAATATTTGTGTTAAGAAAAATATATACACTTTATAAGTATTATAAAAATAACAAATTAAATTACCATAAATAAAAAAAATCAATTTTTATAGCTTCGATGAACGTAGCTAAAATGCTATTAATTTTACAATTTCGTTTTTTTTGTGTCCGGTTTTCACAATCAATACTAATTTAAAAAAAGTCATCTAAACTACTTACTAGAACTCAACTGTACTTTACTTTTTAATATTCATAACGATATTTGACTCATACTATTTTTTTTTACAATTATTGTTTTTAATGGAGTACAGTTATCACAAACTACCTTCAAAAATAAAATATTTAAGTAAAAAATCATTTATCAATGTCAAAATGTATTATCTTCATTATGTTTTTACTTCTGGCAGCCTATTGAACTTTTTTTAGACATTCAATCATAATGTTTTTTGTATATCACTTTTTTATGTAATACCATAAAAATATTTGGAAATTGAATCACCGTCATTTTGCTTTTATCAAAAACTGCAGTTAAATATTTTATGTTAATATATTCTGAACATTTAAAATGAAACCGATTGCTGAATAACCAAAATAACTACAAGGACCACATAATAATCTTAAAGTGTTGTTATTTTAACTTTAAAACAAGACTTGAATGGTATAAGTATTACTAATGCCATCGAATCTTAAGCCTCTGTGTTCATTAGAAGTTATTAAAATGATACGTCTCTCATTGAATATTTGACAATTAATCCCGGACTATAAATAATCTCTGAAATACTGGTCCAAATGTTGGTATAGCCCAGTTTCATCATTTTCTTTTTTATCAGCTAGTTGTAATTATGTTTTTTTTTTTTTTAACAATAAAGTTGACTTCCCTTATAAGTCATAAGGGATGAACATAAGAAATATTTATTATTTATAAACACATCAATGAATGGCTAGTGTTAAAAAAATCACTCAGTATTAATATTATGTTCATACTTGATTTCTTACTAGTTGGTCATAACTCAAAAACTAGAGAGGATAGAAAAAAATATATAGTTTGGATCCAGTAAAGTGGAGTTAAGGAATTTTATGGATTAGAATTGATCGATATCTGTCAATAATTAAAATCATTGTTGTAAACGCTTCGATGGGTATTATGTTTATGTGTACGTAGATGACGTGAGAAATCGTGTTAAGAGAAATTTTAGGATAATTGTGACAGATCCAAGTGGTCGGTATAAATATCAGAAAAAAAGGGTGAAGAAGAATAAAAATTTAAATAAATTTTTATGTGGAAATACTTGCTTTTACTAATTTGTAATAATCACAAAAAAAAAAAAGGTAGAAGCAATCTAATTACAGATTTGAAATATACACAAAAATTTATTTGCAAAATATATTTTAGTCTATGATGATAAAAACATGTATTCTTTAAGTAGTATGATTTTTCTACATAATTCAGTATAAAAACGAATCCTATATTCCCAGTATTTATTGAGGTATTTAATTTAAAAAGTACACACTTTAAATAAAATAATTTAGTTAAAGAAAAATTGGTTCAGTGAAAGTCGAGGAAAATAGTCATAGACACAAAAAAAAAAAAAATAAATAAATAAACACATCATAAATGTCTACAATATAATGTAAAAATAAATATTTTAGAAAAAAATATATAAGGGGATTGATTTTTAACCACTTCCTTTTTAATACGCCAATGTAATTTACTAAATTTTTAAAAAAGAATTTCAAGTAAGTGTTTGTACAACAATTTATCAATTCCTTTTTTTAATTTTCCCAATTTTTGCACAAAAAACGTACTTTTTTCTTTAAATGTAATGTCTAAATACCGTTATTCGAACTTTTTTTTTTGTTTATTATATAAGCTTTAATTTGAGGTATGTATAAAAATGTCAGTATTTCCAGAACATTTTCAAAATTTATTTTTTGTGGAAAAGTCGCTATTTTTAATCCCACCCATGGGTAGGTAAAAGTTCAGTTTTAAAAATATATATATATACTATAAATAATATGTAAATACTTATCTGTAAAAAAATATTATTTTTATTCATTTCTTTTTCAAAAAGTTAGGCAGTTTTAAATAAAAATAGTTTAGAAAAGTCGAAAATTACCAATTTTTAAAATTATAATTTTTATGAGGGTTAGCCCCATTTGCGGAAAACGAGAATAACTTTTTAAATTTTTGAGTGCAATGTCTTCTACTAACAATATTTTCAATCGTCGTTTTATTTAAATTTATTGGTAAATAAATCGGAAATTTTATTCGAAGCAAAACTTTTTTAATTTTATGCAATACTGAAAAGCAACAACAACTTTGAACTTAAGAACTATTGTCAACGTTATAATAAAAATAACAAAGCAATGCACTTTAATCGTTTTGTTGCACCACTAAATAGTAAACAGTAGTTTTAGATTTTGATGGTATACTATGACTGTATGATATAAAGTTGATGTGAACGTAAACCTTCTACAAGAGTACTTTTGAAGTATTTAATTGCCGCAAAATCTGTTATATAATTAAAGTTATTATTATTAAAGTGTGAGAATTTCTATTTTATAAAATGAGTACGTTATCATGTACATTCATTTGAGGATACCTGAAGTGTTCTGTAGTTAAGATTTCAAATACAATATCACTACAAATATACTTCACTACATACCAAATCTCGAAATACTTTAATATCACACGTTGTCTGTAAAGTTATTTATCCTAAGTAGAAGAGTACCTTGACCGGCGTGATGGCAATCGTTGTCACCTACGATTGAGAATTTTTTCATTGAGTAGCATAACATAATCTGGCTTAAGAAAAGTGACCCGAATTCCTATATAAATACAAACTACACTTGTGCACAAGTGAAGTTGTAAATGAGCTTTAAGTTGGAAGTATAATCCTTAAGATCAAGGTGGTCGATAGTAAACTGTGACAAACGGCTGCAAAAAGAAAAAATACTATCGCAAACAAAAAAAAACTCAAACGTTTTAACAAAATAAAATTTATTTTTGATGCATATAAAAGGTAATATTGAAATTTGTCTATAGCACGCGGACTTACTAATTAGTGTTTGTTTTAAATTACTATTTCAACTACTCCTTACCACACATTCTAAGTAATGTATACCATGTATGCGATAAATTACTTAGCGTAAATTCAAATAACGCTATACCTGTATTTAATTTAAAATAACATGTATCAAATAGATCTGTTAATTAAATTACTAATTTATACTAGTTAAATCAATCCACAGACATCAAACAAAATACTATTGATTTTTGCTGACTAACTTAATTTATGTAAAATTTTTTAATCAAAGATTGCGTAACACTCGTTAAACATTTCATTTAGTCGCATATTCTTTTTCGGCAATAACAAACATCTCATTAAAGAATTGTATTTATTTGTGTAGAAAAGAACTATAAATGTTTAGGTACTCTAAATTAAAGAATAAACGATTGGACATTTTTATGGTTGTATCAAAACAGACAAACAAAAAGTGTCAATTTGTAAGAAAAAAGCGATCCCTTTCATTTTAAAAGTTTATATAAAAGACTTCTTAGGAAGCATGACGTTGAGCAATATAAAGCTCAAGGCTAGACTGATTATTTGATTTTTTTTGGGAGGGGGAGATGGTTTAAGTGTTATAAATATTTAATAAATACACGTACTAATATTATTACATTTTTAAAGGTACGAATTCAATAAAATTATATTTATTAATAATTCTAATATTAGGAAATATATAAAATGAAAGTAAGATTTCTAATGAATATTTACAAACAAAAACTGTAAATTTTATCCTTAATTTTATCATGAAAATAATATTTTTGCTTCCTTATTTCTAGCCGTGGTAAAAATTGAACAATATATACAAGATAAAATAAATTTCCTTTACAGCATGACTATTTAGTGAATCTTTTTCTTATGTTTTTATATTTATTGTATTTTGTTTATAAAGATTAAAAGATGTTTTTATTTTTTAAATAACTTGAGCCGACAATAAAAATTTAAAAGAATAGAGATTTATTTTCTCAGAATTCAATCATGTAAAGTGACTTTTACACTCAAATACAAACATGAAAGTTAATCACGTTTTAAAACATTTTTAAATTGAAGTTACTATAAAATGTTGTAATAACATCATTATGTTTAAAGTAGTTAATTAAATTGTTTTTTAATTTCAACTAGTTTTCAGAGTACTTAGTTTAGAAAAATATATTGAATTATAAATAAAACGTTGAGCCTAAATGGGTAGTTGAAGGAAACTCGAAAAGGGCGTGTGTTAAACGGCAATATTTTTGGTCCTTTTAGCCGCAAAAGCAGCTGATATAAAGTTTCATGCTCCTCTTATATATTTTACGGTTGTTAATGCACTTTTAGAAGTTGATTTATAGAAATAAATATGTGTAAAAATGTATAAATGTAAAAAATATATAGAGTGATTGACGCAATACTTATGAAGATCTAAAATAATTTTTTATTCAAATGCTTATGAAACTAATTCAAGAAAAAATGTAGTTCTGTCCACTTCTCTTTCCGTTTTGATTTAAAAATTTAGAATCTTTAAATTCTAATATCTCAAAAATTTATATTATATAATTGGTTATCAACCAGTCAAAATTTTATTATGAACATTTTCCATTTAATAGTAAAAAAAACAAGTTAATTTCGAAAGTAACTCCTAAAATCTATCCTTAGCAATAATTTTTTCTTTTAATAAATTTGAGTTTTAGAATGGTTTATAAAAATAAATTCAATTTAATCTATATATTTTTTATGATAAAATCATTACTTAACAAAAAAAAAACA